CAAGAAATGCAGCAAGTGAAGATGAACTAGTAGACATATGATGACAAGATATTCTTATAAACTTCTAGAAATGTATATCACTTATGAATGAGCGGACGAAAGACATTGTTCATTATGAACTTTGAATTATGTATTTTTCAAGAAATATTTAGCTTTGATATTATCCGAAGCCGTCAAAGTCAGCGACGAGTAATGAAATGGGAATAATTTTATAAAACGTGTTTTTATTCGAGATTTGCTTCGGGAGAAGACAACTTTCTGTCCGTAGAGCCTGAATACAAGACAGTGTCTTATTGATCTCAATTATGGTACATGTAAATATGTTTAATCTTTATGTTCAATTAAAATGTTGCTTAACTTGCAGATGTTATTATCATGCAATGATATTAAAATGGCATAACGTATTTATGATGAACAGTCCTAGAATATTTTGATAAGGAACCGTCAGTTGTAAAATGGTATTATGATCTTATAATGAACAGTCGTCATACCTGGTATGTCATTTATAAATGGTTTTTAGGTTTTTCAAAATTTGCATGATTAACAGTCCGAATGTAGACCTCAATGAAATGTTCTGGAATATTAACAAAATGAATAGTCAACCATATTAACCATATTTATGAATGGTTGAACGATAAATCATCGGCGCAATGTGCATATCTTCTTATTTAACAGCACAGTTTAAGCAAAAAGAAAAGAAACTATAAGTCTGAAACATTCTGTCATAGCCTCCCCATCAGTACATTCAGTGCTTTGATTTTAAATTGTAACGCTCCAAAACCGGGAGAGACCGGACAATAAACGTGTGGTACTAGTAAATCCCGGTCAAAAAAGACCGGGAGAGACCGGAAATTACCGATAGGATTGATAAATAGATATATCTATAAATAGATTTTCGGAATATTTAGGTCATCAGATACAGGTACAACAATAACATACCATGATAACCCACTGTGTACTACAAAATGATAAATAAAAAACCTCGAAGAGCGCGATTTATTGACGGAAAAGGTTATTTCATTTGAAAATGTTTGCATTGCCAAATTCTCCAGTTCGCTGCTCATTGTAATATATCGCGACATTTCATTCAAGCACCCTCATACCGATCGGAATGATCGGCTTTTATTATGGCTGACTAAAAGGCTCAAGAAGTTGCTGTCGCCCTTTCACAAAATCTGATTTCATTCCATAAGGGCGCCGCGCTTCGGCGCGGACACCAATAACACAGGCACCAGTATTAGGTTACTATGACCCGACAAAGCCGCTTATACTGGAAACGGATGCTTCAAAATTCGGAGTCGCTTGTTGTTTATTTCAAGACAATACCCAGCCAGCATGACCATATCGGGCCGATATAGGATTAATGTCGGTATGTCGGCAAAATATGCCGACTATTGGCCGACGTCGGGCCGCTGCGGTACCGACATATTGAGTATTATGAAAAATTCTAAATGCAATGGCATTGTTTACTTAATAATGTGAATAAATTGTCCTGTGTATGATTTCAATTACTAGAACCACACTAACCACATTTCGTGTTACATCAAAAAAGATACATCGGGTCTGCGTCGGGCCTACATGACCTATCAATGCAACTATTTTGTATATCGGATTGACGTCGGTACGATATTGCGTTTTCTGTTAAATTGATTATCATGCAGAAAATAATTGTACATTTTGATATTAATTTCTTAAATAATCATAGTTGAGTTTGGAAATGATATGTGGTTTGTAATTAAATTCAATATTTATGTTTTGACTACATAAAAATCACTCGTTTATTATATTTTAAATGAAAAGCTTGCAAATATTCTCTGCAGTCCTACAATTAACAGATTTAAGCGCCAAAAAGAAAAGCTAACAAAGGAAGGTGATGAAAAGCATGTTTTTTTAATGTAATGATGATTCAACAAATGTGTAAACGCTGTTAATATTTTGATTTTTACACTTAAAATTATTGGAAAAATACCATTTATCTGTTTGTCTCTTTTTTAAATGTAAAATTATGTTTGAAAATATTTGACACATGATTTCGCGACATGAATTATCATTGTAGTGATTAAAGTTAAATATTCGCCTTTATTATCTTATATTTTGTAAAATAATAATCTTTTATTTTGTGTGTTTGCAGGAGATGCCAAATGCTTGTTGCTAGATGTCATAAACATGCTAGCATAAGAATTATACCTGGTCGATATATCTACTGTTGGCTGGCATCGCACCGCTATTGTTTTGATGTAGGCCCGATGTTGGCAAGAAATATCGGGCCTATATCGTTAAGATATCGGCCCGATATTGTGCTGCCGATGTCGGACCAACATCATTCCTATTTGCAGCCGAGGTTAAATCCGACATCGGGCCGTCATAGAAAACCATGTCGGTTTGATGTCGGGCCGATATAGGATGTTGGCTGGGTAGACCTATCGCATTTGCAAGCAAAAGCCTGACGCAAACTGAAATCGGTTATGCTGTCATTGAAAAAGAAATGCTTGGAATTTTGTTCGGATGCAAACGGTTTCATCAATTCACTTATGGTAGAGAAGTTATCGTACATTGCGATCACAAACCAATATCTGCCATTATGAAAAAACCAATGTCCGCAGCACCGCCTAGGTTATCTAGAATGCTACTAGCTCTGTCTAAGTATCAGTTAATCGTAAAGCACATTCCTGGTAAAGAAATACCAGTTAGTGACTGCCTATCACCCAAAGTCTCCCTAATACATACTTAAATATGTCAGACGAGCTTGATAATTACGTGCATACCGTCCAAAAACAATTGCACATTACCGACCAACGAATAGAAAATATTCGCGCCGAAACGTGCAAAGACGCACAAATGAAAATTCTGAAAAAGACTATATTAAACGGTTGGCCAGAATCGAGATCAATGTGCGAGCAATCAATCCTTGATTTCTGGAACCACCGCGATGAGATATGCATAGAAAATGACCTAATATTTCGAGGTCATACGATTGTAATACCGAAAATCTTGAGAAATGAACTTGTACAGAAAGTTCATACAGGTCACATGGGAATTACGAAAACCCTTGAACGTGCTAAAGATTCAATATTCTGGCCAGGCATGTCCAAATAAATTAAAGAATATGTAAGCAAATGTAGCATATGTCTAACATACCGCGACGCAAACACAAAAGAACCGCTTATGACTACAGAATTCCCCGACAGACCTTACCAAAAAATAGCAGCAGACCTGTTCCATTTTCAAGGTAAAGAGTATCTATTGACGATAGATTATTATTCAAGATTTTTTGAAATAGACCATTTACAAAACACAACATCAAAAACAGTCATTCTGAAACTTCAGAAACACATGTCGAGACTGTCAATACCTGAAGTCTTTGTCTCAGACAATGGTACTCAATTTTCAAGCTCCGAATTCAAAGAATTCGCTAAAGAGTGGGGTTTCGAGCACAGAACTTCATCCCCCGGATACCCCCAGTCGAACGGTCTTGCGGAAAAAGGCGTAGGTATCGCCAAAAAACTAATGCAAAAGGCTAAAGATACAAACACAAACATTTACATTGCATTATTAGAATATCGTAATACACCTCTTGAATGCGGATATTCTCCGAGTCAACTGTTAATCGGCCGGAGAACTAAATCCGTTGTGCCAGTTACAAATAAAGCACTGGTACCCATTTTAGTAAATAACTCAAAAGTGCGCAGTCTAATGAAAAAATCGAAAGACAAACAAAAGGTCAATTACGACAAAAATGCAAAATATTTGCCACCTTTGTCCTTGAATCAATCAGTACGCATTAAAATAGGAAAAACTTGGAAACGCGGGAAAATAGTAAAAGTACATAGTGACCGCTCCTATCATATACAACTTGCTGACGGCAGCATATATCGGAGAAATCGGTCAGTATTACGCAAAAGTCCGGAAGACACAACCGATATTGAATCATTTCATGCGCAAGTCTTATATCATGATAAAAATTCAAGTACCCCTGAATTACCTCTCGAGGAAAATAACTCATCTCAGGAACAAAGTGACCCGCCGATGAACTCGCGTGCTAGAACAAGGGCTGGACGATTGTTGCGTGGCAATCCGAAGTATGATAATAATGAATGGGTTAGATAATAACAGTTATTGAAAATAATGAGTTTAAAGTATTTTGTAATCACAGTAATATACCGTGACTATCTGAAAAAATAAAGAACTAAACTATGTCACGTAGAGAAAATTAATAAACAGTTCAATCAGTATTATTGAAATTAGCTATTAATATTATTTCTTAAGCACGCATTATTATTTAATAAAATAATGATTTAAAATAAAAGAAAGGAGATGTTCTATATTGATATATATTGAAACAGACTTTAGTTACTGATAAGCTCCGCCTCCATAGCATGCTACATGTAACATCACTTGTGTATTAAATCTTGGAATATTAAGACGTACTCTTGTTGTCTCTTCTAGTTCAAATTATACAATAGTATACTTTACTGGACATCTCATTTGAGATATAATATTCTTGATAATATACTTGTCACTACAACAAAACATACAACAGCTATCTAGGTCTCTGATTATTATGCAGACGGTTCTCCCCCAAAATAAGGAGAGAACCGTCAGGGAGGAAACGTCAGGGAAGGAACTGGTAAGGCAGAGAATAGTCTGACAACCGACTCCGTCTCTGACATAACATTAAGAATTGAGAACAAAATCGGCGGCGTCTTCGACTGCTTGAAATAAGTAACAAAGTCACGTGTGTAACGCTGGTCAGCGCATGGGAAATGTCTACCTACATGTACAATCAGTTAGGCTTCTTAATTGGTAGAAGAGCTGCAGCTAGCTGCTAAGAAATGTACATAAGTATGAAAAAAAACACTCTTGAAAAAAAAACCTTGAGATACACGTACAGGATTTTAACATATTTATTTTCTTAATTAAATGTGCTACCCTAATTCAAAAATAAATATATAAAGTTATTTTGCATTCATATAAGATATCGGTGGTCTCCTTCGGGCAGAGCTCCCGAATTACGTGGTTTTAGTCATGCCGTCTCAGTTCTTTCCCTTTAATCCAAGACAAATGGCGACGTGTGATAAAGCGCGCGATGAACATTTCTATTGTAGTATTTGTTTGGAAATATATGACACACCTAGAACGTTACCGTGTTTACATTCATTCTGTCAGGAATGTTTAAAAGAATATATCATAAAGATTATAGAAAAACAGGATTCACAAACATTGTTATGTCCTTTTTGTAGGGCGGACACGAAAACAGATCACCTTAAGTTTAACAGGCTGGGCACATCTCCCAATCGGGCTAAATTAGCTCAATCGGGGTAATTTAGCCCGATTGAGCTAAAATCCAATGAATGAAAATGATAAAATGTGTCTGAAATTTATGGAAGCGTATAAAATCGAGTACTCTCCCTTGTCATGATGTGATCCAGTTTCTACAATAACACATCTGATACATTAAAATATGCTGTACTCGCTTGATCTTATTGCGCAATTTGGTGTAAAAAATACCGAATTTTGAAAATTGGATCAACATATACCCAAATCTGTTATATTAACTCCAAAACTGTACAAAATTCTTCGCCCAAACTCCTCACAGCGGTTACGTCACGCTTTGCTACTTTAACTGCGCATTAGAAAATAAAAGTGGGAACAATAAGATTTATGAAAAACCATTGCATTATCCCAGAAAAGGCAGCATCTGTGTGTGATGTTTGTTTGAATTATGTACAGGATACCTTAATGATAGAACCAAGTCATAAAAAATTAAAGGCAGAAAATGATTGTAAAACATTTTTAGAAAATTTGAAAAATGATAAATTTGAAGAAAATGAATTAGTAGAAATTGTTGCAGCCATTGGTGAAAAAATTTCTTCAAATATATATGAAGATTCAATGGTTGTTTCGTCATCGTACAAGAGTATAAATTTTGATGATGATGTAAAAGTAAAAAAATATATAAAAAACAGAAATCGTATACTCACATAGATCTTTCCTATTACCTGTTGCAAATATAAAATCTGTAGACGAAAATGAGAAAAAAATAAAAGTATTGCTAGCAGCATTGACTGTTTATTGAAAGCCAGGAATCTTCCAACTATAACACCAATAATACCATTTTATAAAAATCTTATTAGCTATTATATCACTGGCAGCAAAATTATAACTAAATTGAATAGCGTACATTCCCCAGCAGGTAGCTATTCATGTCTAACTGAATGGCTGAAGAATGTCTCCGACACGTCCCTCAGTTACTCCGAGTCCACTGACACGTTTACTTATTTTGACAATAACCAAGTTGTGGCCAGAAATTGGCGGGTTAATCATAATTATAAATCAAAGGCAAGTGTTGTTACCACGGTTGTTAATATTATACCAGCAAAGAAAACAAATCTTCAAAAACAACAAGAAATTTCACCGTCAAAATGGTATTACAACTGTAATAATGTTGACACATTTTCAAAAATCAAATCAATGTTGCATGACAATGAATCGGTCTTCCAAAATGTAAGGAATAAATTTATTGAAAAACGACTGGCCAAAGTTGTCAACGACATGGGAGCACACAACACTAGTATGACACGTGATTACATTGATGAAAAAATTGAAGGTAATTTCTGACATAATTTGTATTCATTATCCCAAAATATTGTAAAGATTTAGATTATATTAGATTTTGTTTCGTTGCATAAGTAATAATAAAGCAAATAAATCTAATTACACGTACAAAATTACATCATGAACGCATTTTGATTTCGTCATGAATTCAGACAAACACAATGTCTATTTAAATGTCATGATGCAATAGTTAATTTGTCTTTAATTTCTCAAATTCAATTACAATTATATTTATATTCAGCTGGAGTTAATCCAGTCGTTGAACAGGATATGTTTCATCATTATAATTGGATTCCAAGCATGCACCATAAAGAGTCCCCGAAAGTTGTTGTAGGAGAGCCTATAATGGTCAATCCATGCTCTTATGCTTCTGTGACAAAAGTTCTACAGGTACACATTCTCTTAAAATTAGTGTAAAAAAATTAATATATAACATGTGAAAAACGATTATTATAAGAATCATTTGAAACAACAAACAAGTATTAACAATTACTGAAACTAAAATTATTCAATTATTATTGATGCTTTACAAACGAATATATCATTTCAGAATCTGCAGAAAGTTCAGAGAATGAATACGAATAATCATCAATATACACGTGTTCATATGTACTTACCGACATCTCTAGTCTTCACTGCATACGAACTCAATATGACCTCAAACCGAAAAACTCGTGCAAAAGTCATGTGGTATATTTTATAAACATATATATAGATATTATTATTTTTAATTCATTTTACATGTATAAAAATAATTATGATGTTTCTAAAATATGCACACACCCTATATCAATTAATGAAAAACAATAGATTAAAGTGTTTCGTGCATGACGGATTTTAATCAATCTTTCCAAGATGGCGTCGATGATGAAGCTGCGTTGAATTGGCGAAGAATTTTGTACAGTATTGGAGTTAATATAACAGATTTGGGTATATGTTGATCCAATTTTCAAAATTCGGTATTTTTTACACCAAATTGCGCAATAAGATCAAGCGAGTACAGCATATTTTAATGTATCAGATGTGTTATTGTAGAAACTGGATCACATCAAGACAAGGGAGAGTACTCGATTTTATACGCTTCCATAAATTTCCGACACATTTTATCATTTTCATTCATTGGATTTTAGCTCAATCGGGCTAAATTACCCCGATTGAGCTAATTTAGCCCGATTGGGAGATGTGCCCAGCCTGTTTAAAGAAGTTGACAAGTGGCTGGAGAATTTTCCAATAAACTCTTCATTACATGACATTTTAAAAGAGAACACGTTGACCATGTGTTCAAAAGGAAACGAGTGTGAAGCATGTTTAAGGGAGGATATTGAAGTTGAAGCTATTGTTTATTGTTATGATTGTTCTGAAAAACTATGTGAAGATTGTAAAAGACATCATAAGAAGAATAAGTTATTATCAAACCATAAACTGGTTGACACAAGTGATGACCTGGAGGGAAAGAAAGATTTTACAGATTTAGAGTACTTAGCAAACCTGTCCAAATGTCCAATGCATGATAGCAAAAGAGTGAAGTATCTTTGTAAAGATCATGATAAACTCTGCTGTAATGAATGTGCCATTGTTACTCATAGAGAATGTGAAAATATGGTTCCACTAAGTGATGAAATACAAGCAAAAAAGAGCACAGAATCTAGTATTGAAAAGAGACTTGATACAATTGATAATTACGTTGTGAAGCTGATAATGCATGAGACTTCATATTTAACGAAACTTGGTAGAAAAGAAGATGAAACAAAAGACTGCTTAAAGGATCTTAAGGCAAAGCTAGATGCTGCCTACAACAAGCTTGAAACAAAAATCATGCATGAAATGTCTGAAAGGAAACGGGCATTATCGAAAGCTAGTTCCTTATTGACAGAATCAGCAGAAAATCTGAGAGATGCTATTACACAGTGTGCAGAAAAAATGGAAAAAGCAAGAACATATGGGACAGTGACACATATATATCTCATGGAAAGAGACATTGATAAACAAGTTACAGAGTTTGAGAAAACATTCACAACTCTTCGACAACAATCAAGCAAGTCGTTGATCACTCTGTCAGAAGCACATCCACTTCAAGATGTTATAAGAAATGTTGAAAATCTTTACCAGATCAAAGAAATGAAAGAAAACCCAGTTTTGCCTACAATTATGAAAACTAAAGATTTCATGAATAGGAAACTTACTTTAGAACATGAGGTCAGATTGAATGAGAGTCCACCAAGGTATTGCGTCTGGATTGGAAATTACATTGTTGTATCATTTGAAGACGCTTGTAAATTAGTTGCTTACAGAGCAGACGATGGTTCACCTGTTACTTCGTATCGATGTTATTCACCTACATCAGTAACGGCAACCGAGAATAATGAGTTTGCTGTTGCCATACCATCATCAAGGAAAATAAATATAATGAAGATTCACCAGAATCAACTGATGTGTTTAAGAGAACTAATTTATGCAAGTCCTGACCTTATTGCTTATGATAAAAAGAACAAACATCTTTTGATATTGTCAAAGTCAAGAATGTTGATTCAAAAGATGAGTCTTCATGGGAAAGAACTTGGAGGTAAAGACAATGGTTGCATAGATCTAATAAATATTGACAGAAAGATACTGCATGGCACTTGCAACTTCTATATTGATTCTCTGTATGGATTTATTTTTGTTTCTTTACACCATTGTCAGGAATTAATTTGCTTTGACACGTCTGGAATATATATATTCCATCATACACTTGAATATCCGTGGTCGGTTATTACAGACTCACAAGGAAATGCATATGTCACAAGTTACAAGAAAAATTGTATTCAACTACTTCGTCCCAATGGACTAGTAGTAAAATCTAACCTATTAGGAGAATGTAAAGTGACAAAACTATTGGCAATTTCTCTCAACAAAGATATGAACAAAATGGCTGTAACATCAGATGACAGTGGAGGAAAATTGAGATTATTCAAATTTGAATAAAATTATTTTTACACTTGAAAACACCTTTAAAATGGTTATATATTGGACTTTAAAGTGTTGGTATAAAACATAGGACTGTACAGATATGTTTCAAGGTGTTTTAGGCAGATTTTTTTACTTGAAAAGCCATTAATCAAATGTAACATACATGTATATATTTCACTTTATTTGTCTTGAATGACGAATAATGAGCTACAGTTGCAGAATAACTTTGATTTTATAACAAGCAATAGTTGCTTAATCAACACAATGTATAAGACATACATAGGGCATAACAAATGGTTGTAAATTTGTAGTATAATTTTCAGTTTATGAGAAATGTGAAAATTGTGTATTATCTTTCACAGTTGTTCATGTATAATATTTTATGATTATTTGTAAGAAAGATCAGAATTATGTAAACTGTGTAAAGGCTAGTTTTGTTGATGTTGTACGTATGTGTTTGATACAAGAAAATGATAAAACATTGCTCATTTGGCTGAATAAGACGATTGACACACCTGCTTTAATTATTTGACTAAGAACTTATTCTATTGTATGTATTGTAGGCTTAATGAGGGTCCATCTGCACTTTTAGGCACACCAAGTGTACGTACACTAAGGAGAAGCCTTATGTTTTCTTATAAACATACTGGCAATTCCATACTTGTCTCTTCAATTTCTGTCTCTGGGAATCTGTTGTCAGTCATAACAGACAGGGATATGTTTACAAGTTTTGCACAGCACGGTTGTTGTGCACAAAAGAAAAAATATACTATCTGCCCAATACATAAAGTATGACCAAGGTCTTAAGTGTTGCATGCAACACAATCATCATTCATGCATGACATTTTGGACTGTAAAGAAGTTTGTTCAATGGCAATGTCTTTAAAGTCTGGAATGAACAAAATGGTTGTACATAACATTTAGCAAAACACCAGTGATGATGATAAAAATATCAAGATTATAAGTAAAATTATTAAAATATTTTTCAAATTGGCAATGTCAAAATTATATATTATGTCAGTAATTTGAGTTTGTCTGGTGGATAATAATAAATTGATTATTTATTATTTTATTGTTTTGCCTTTTAGCTTGGCTATTCAATATGAATAAGTAGAGCTATCCTAGTCACCAGAGTGTCGGCGTAACGACTTATGTTAAAGTTTTTGTAATACCTCAAATATTTTCAAAGTCCATTGACATATGGCTTTGAAACATTGCACACTTGTTCACCATTATGACCCTAACCTGTAGACATGAGGAGGTAACTATCAAGTATTTTGACAGGATTATGCCCCTTCTTTGACTTAGAATTTACCTTCAAGTTTTCGTACCACCTCAATGGCTTTGAAACTTTGCACAGTTGTTCACCATCATGCCCCCAACATGTACACAGGAGAAGGTAACTATATCGAGAATTTTGACATAATTATGCCCCTTTTTCGACTTCTTTGAAAGCATTATAGGACTCTCTCCCCAAGGCTTATAACTGTAACATGGATTTGAAGAAAGATTTGGCCCGTTTGTTAAATTTTACATTATCAAAGCTCTTTTACTATCAAGCACTAAGAATAGTCGAGCGTGCTGTTCTAACTACAGCTCTTGTTAGATGGTCAGATTCAAGTTAATTTGTCGAAAAGCTATCAATATATATAGTCTCCTTTATTTGAATGCTCACAAAATTGACATCTGTAAAACCTATGTTTGATATCACCATATTGTATAGTAACTCCAGTGCAAAGAAGAATTCTTTGTATTTTAAAATTATTTTTTGATAAATAAGCACATACATATAGTTCATCAAAGGCATTTTAAGATACCGTAATTTAATGAAATGATTTGTTTAAGAAACTGTTTAATGTTTAATAACAGATCAATCTCTGAAAAAATAAGATTTACTAGTTGATCAAGAATTTCTCAGATAAAAAAAAATGCCCAAGTTTTGGTAGGTTATAGTAATATGCAGACTTGAAAACTTTACTAAACAAATTGTCTCCCTTCAGCAATTTACTACAAGATGTATTAATGCTTATTTGATAGTTGAAATTACTTATATAAAATAAACATGTCTACACACAGAAACTCTACACACTTTAGAGAAACACATAATACATAGTGTGATTAAGTAAAACTGGCAGTTAAGAGGACACCAAGTTAAGGTAGTCTTACTGCAGTGCTTTCATGCCAAAAGAATTCTAACATCGCCCAATATCTTAATAAATTGTCATTTCCAGAATGTTATTTTTCACAATCTTCGGTATTCAATATGTTTTAACCATTTATAACCGGAATTCAGTACATATCCATTTTATCTCTTTTATCAAATTACCTGCTCAAGTTGAAATGATCCTTTGCAAACAAATGCACTAAACAAAAGGAAATGTCTTTAAGCTGAGTGATTCTTGTTGGATACAGGAAACTACATCATTTTCTATTTGTTTGTTTCTGGTATATTTGTTGCATTGTTGGGTGTATTTTTATCCAAACAAAAAACAACAAATATCCTATCTCTCCGTCCTTCCATCATTTGTGTCCAGAGCGAAACCTGAAATGGTTTTTTAGCTTGACTTTTTTTTTTTTGAATAAAAAGGGGAGGTATTGTTATAGTCCTGGGGCATTGCCGTTGCTGTCCGCAAACTTGTACCTGGATCATAACCGATGGAATCGGGAGGGGGATATAGTTTTGGCGTTGTCCGTCCATCCGTCCGTCCGAATTTCGTTTCCGGAGTAGTTCTCTGCAACTTCTGGCTGGAATTCAATGAAACTTTATGGGAATCATCAATATCAAGAGGAGATGCGCATATCGTTGGCTTGTTTCGGTCCGACCCTTTAACTCAGAGTTATGGCCCTTGATTAGTTATGTAGTATGCATATAGAGTAAAAATCGTTTCCGGAGTAGTTCTCTGCAACTACTGGCTGGAATTCAACGAAACTTTATGGGAATCATCAATACCAAGAGGAGATGCGCATATCGTCGGCTTGTTTCGGTCAGACACTTTAACTCAGAGTTATGGCCCTTGATTAGTTATGCAATATGCATATGGAGTAAAAATCGTTTCCGCGCTACTTCTCTGCAACTACTGGCTGGAATTCAACGAAACTTTATGGGAACCTTCAATACCAAGAGGAGATGCTTGTTCCGGTCAGACACTTTAACTCAGAGTTATGGCCCTTGATTAGTTATTTAGTATCCATATAGAAAAAATATTTGTTTCCTCGCTACTTCTCTGCTACTACTGGCTGGAATTCAATGAAACTTTATGGGATACTAAGAGGAGATGTGCATATAGTAGCCTTGTTCCAGTCAGATACTTATAATTCAGATTTATGGCCCTTGATTAGTTATGTAGTATGCATACATCTCATTGGCATTTCCAGATTTTACTATTTAACACAAAGTTATGGCTCTGTTATTGCCCTGAATATTTATCAAGTTCAAAGAATATTACTGTTTATGCCATGATTAATATATAAATAAAGCCTTATGTCTTCTTAATTTATGCCATGATTAATATATAAATAAAGCCTTATGTCTTCAGTTGTTGTGTTAATAATAACCAGTACTCGGCGGGGGATATAAATTCAACGAATTTGCTTGTTAGTTCTTGGTGTATTGTCTTCATACTTGGCCACAACAACCCTTGGGACAAGACAGTAACCACACTAACCTTGACCTTCATCCATAAATGACCTTGACTGACAGACGACAGAGAAGTGATCCCTGTATGTCGCCACTACTCTGTAAGGGCGACACAAAAATGTTTATTTTTTGACCAAGCTGTTCTGAGATATCTGTTTGAACTATTGTTGGAGAATAGATCTCATACTAGGGCTTTGTAATTTTCGGGTTCCAGCACTTGAATGAGAATTAAATGTTAGTGTGTCCTCTTTTTACAACTTCACCTATTCAGCTGGAGATTTGGCAGTCAGTGACTGGTTCTGGTTTGTCACCAGGCAACTTCTTACCAAATGTTATGCTAAACAAGTGTGGCAATGTAACAAAATAGGGCTGTGAATGACTAGACTACTTCATTTGAAACCAAGTTTTTATTTATAGGGACACTACTACAGTTTTTTTGACATTACATGACTGGAAGTGTCTTTGGTGTTGGTTTTTTCCCCTAAAATAGACTGATAAACTTGTGTGTAAAATTTCATGATTGTGTACTCACTTCAGGTTGTTTTTTTTTGTTTTTTTTTTTTTTTTTTTTTTTTTTTCAAATAATAGGTTACCTTTACTCTTTAATCAAAATCGGGCTATTAATGATAATGACACTAAAAATCAATTTTCAATTTACAATAATTCTAAATAAATATCTTTACAACTTTTTTCCATTTTAAGTGATCCAGTCTATCTATGTAAGATACTAAGATATTCAAATTTTATATTTCTAGGAATTCAGACTTCAGTAGAGTTCATATAAAAGTTCTTCTATTCTCAAGTCAAAAGAAAAAACAACAAGTTTCAACTGGACATAATCATAACTTTATTGCCTCTTCAATTTATATACACATTTTTTTCTAATTTCTTTCAGAGAAAAAATTAAAAAACACCCAAGGCCCAAAGAAACAACAAAAAACATACAACAGTATTCTGGGCCTAAATAACTAAAACAAACATTCAGATATAAAGTTCTATGATAAGGGATTACAAATATAATGTAAACCAAGATAAACATCTAGATGTTTGAACAGATTCCAGTTTGAGGCACAATTTTTTCTTTTCTTTTTTTCTACATAAAAATCATTATTAAATGAAACATACAATATAATTACATATAGTATTTGTTTATAAAAAGGCTTGATCTTAAGCTAATGGGTATTAAAACTTAACTGAACTTTAATTTAACCAAAGACATATTTTTTGTCATTTTGGAACTAAACATATATGCTGCATGAAATATTTTCATTCTAAATAATTTTCACATAAATAAAATATGAATACTAAAATTGCCACATTTCAAATAATTATCTTCTGCAAAGTTACAAAAAAAAGCCTCAAAGAATCGTACTTCTCCCTCATGAAATAGGCATAAATTCAAATCTTAAAAGAGATCACATGACAGTTCAAAACTTGTCACATGACATTTATACTTTGTCACATGACTATCTATATTGGGTCATATGACATTCTATAATAATAAGGAAAATGGGGAAGCACCAATAACACTGATGATAGTATGAAAGTGGCAAAATAATTCTTTCTAAAATGTTAAAAAATATATCATTTCAAATCCTTATATACTTCCACCCTAACATTGCTGATATTTTTTCTGCTTTTGAGTCTGAAACATCCATTAATACCGTCATAATTTTGTACTATAAAAAAATTAAGAGGGCAAACAGTAATGTCTTTCCACACAATTGCATAAGTATGTCATTACATGTAGCAATATGCCTGTCGCTGATAACACCACAGCAAATGTACAAAATAAATGATTTTCCTCATAGATTTTTTATTTCGGACACTATTACTATTATTAGTGTGTTCACAATATTCCTTCAAAACCCTTAATTTCTTAGACTTTAATCCCATATTTTTCAAAACTTAAAGCTTACTTTTTTATCTAGTTTCTCTTCCAAAACATGTGTTTATACAAGACTCAAAAACTCATTGCACTTGTTTAATATAATGTTTCCCTCTGTCAAAATAGTCAAGCATAACTTCATAGCATAGCTGTATTACTTTTTATCCATACCTGTTTGTTATTTATCAAAAACCTTAGGGTAGCTATTTGCTAGAACCATTGATAATTCATTTTCATTGTAATATTAAAGAAGAAAGCCATAATAAACCCTATATTGCTCACGTTGGAAAACATTTCAACATTTCATGTAAGCATGTGCAAACATATAATGGAAAATAGAAAAACAAATTCAGACACTAGTGCATATATCGTCTAATTTAGCCCTTTGTTTACAGTGTAATACATCCCTTGATACTGTTGTTGTTGTTGTGGGGCCGCAATAGCCAACAAAAATGCAGCCAAAAATACTTAGGACTTCATATGTGTAATTCTTGCTCTAAGGAGCTAAAAATTGCATGTATTTTTATCATCGATGAATAACATGTAATAAGCATCTTAACACCATTGGCAAAAAAATGGATGATACAATAAATATAAGTAATATTTGAAGAAAAAAATACACAGAACAAAATAACCCAAACACTTCAAAACCAGTTGCATACAATATCAATTCATTATAATGGGCATGTCAATTTGAATGATACAATAATAACATATAATGGAAAAAAAGTATTCAGAAACTATTATGTTGACTTTCAAATTCAGGAATGCAAGGCTAAAATATACCATACTACTCTGACACTACGCATGCTAAAAAAAACACTATAAACATACTGTAGCATTGTGCAATCACTTTGTTACGAACAGTAATGAAATAAAAGCCTTTATCTTCAAGTATATTTTGAATTTATTTTCACAGCTGTCAAAGATGTTTTTTGTTAAGAAAAAAAACACATTTCAAATATCATCAGCTTCAAACCAAAATAACCATTACAAACATGGATGAGTTATTTGGAGAATACCACTTTCCTATAAAAATCTATGTATTTGTTTGCCTACATCGTGCGCTAAGACTGTTTCCCAATATTTTGTTTCAATTAATTAGCATAGTTGTTATGATCTTAGTTTTTTTCATTTCTTTTAAAAATCTACACCTGTCTAGTAGATCACATATTTCCTACAGGTTCTTATTGTACTATAATGGTCATTGTGTCTGCTTATTTTCACACAATTAAATTCAGTTAAACTGCTAGTGCTTAACGCTCGCATAAACTACATTTTCTATTCTTATTTAGTTTTGTTATTTTAATCACTGACAAAAAATACAATTTATTCGAAGTACCTTGCATAAGGAAAAGATAATGTAAATAATTCTACGGCATTGTAAATTACAGCAATAGATCTTTAATACATTTTTCTTTAAAAACTATGCTTGCATATACACAGGGGTGAAGACAATCTATGCTTTGTCTATATTTACCACACTATGTACATATTGTTAATACGGGTACCGTGTTGTAAATGTATCAACTTGACAACAATATTATTATATCTTAAATCACATTGATATGGTGAAAACATGATAGGAAAGTGTTGGCTTGAACATGACATGCTATAACGGGGAAGATAAAATCTGTTGGAAATATAACCACTGATATAACACAAAGTAAAAGTTAACATACCTTTCCAAGTATATACATTATGTCACAAAACTGGTGCTGTCAGACTAAATTAAAAGTATATATATATATACACTACTCAAATGTGTTCAGCAGATGATTAGGGTAAAAACAAGGCATATGGTAGAATGAACAAGGAGGGAAGAACAAAGAGTAAAATGTTAATATTGAATCCCATGTGAAACTTTTCCCTCAAATATATGTACCTGCTATCATATCCTAAGTCAAGACTGTGATAGGGGAAATATTGTTTGTCTCAACGTAGCACTGGTATTCAGTCTGCCAAGGTTTAGAAATTATCGCGGGATACAAATGTCCAATTGCCGGGCTATATCTCCACACAAACTTCCCTCAGAAAATCAACAGTGTTAAGGTTACGAGAAAAACATGGGTATTTTCATTGTTCACAACAACAATGTTAAGACCATTTGACCACATGGTCTTTTCTCGCACCAACAGTATTAATTATGAGACTTTCTAGCTTTAATGGGAACAGAACACTACTACGCATTCACAGTGAAACTTCTGCAAAGCAACATCCAAAGACTTTTATTGTTGCCAAGAGGCGTGGCTCTTGAAAGTTTAAATTCATTTTGAAATCTATTCTGCCATCTCAATTATTTAAGGGAACCAAAATTCAGGTCTGCTGAACATAATTTAAAATAAAAACATTAAACATACCAAAGAACAACAAAAACGGAGAGCAAATTTATCCAAATGACTTAACTGTTTAACAAATGCCTTTGTAAAAAAGGCTAATTTCATTGTAAAGAACAAAAACCAAAAAATTTATCTTGGTCAGTAAGTTTACGGTCAATTTCATTATACCAAATGCCCTTAAAGCCTTTAAAAGAATATTATACAATCTATATCTAACCCCTAACCAAACTTAATATTTTAAATGGACGTGCACATATTTCAATCTGGACAAAATCATTCATCATTTATTGGGAAAATTTCCAAAATATTTACTGACTGAAATGCCAACAGACCAAATCATGATCAGAGCAGACCATGATCAGAATGCATAAATTTGCCATCTCATCTTGGTCTGCACTGGTCACATGTGGATAGAATCAGTTGCCGGGTTACCCTTCTTTCTATGTAACAATTTTCATACAAATTTCCTTTAATTCCAACATAACCTATCAAATTTATTTACATTAGTTTTTAAAAAAAACAACATATTGCATTTAACCTTCAACCTGCTGACAGTGAATGAGATAGCCTTTGCAAACAGTTTAGCATTGGACCAGAATCTGAGTAACTTCAGCATTAAGTCAGGTACTGTACTTGATTCTGAGTACCTCAGCATCTTGTCAGGCTACTAAGCTGTTTGACAGTCGCCATTTATACATCTATTTCTAATTTCAACAAATATAACAGAATTCAGTAATTAAGCAGGCAATATTTTTAGCAGAAGACAATTTCCCCAAGCATGCAAAGGGTGTTGAGATTTTTGCATAAAAAAACAACAACATTATTTATGAATGCTACAATTTGAACAAGATTGCATTTGAGAAAAATGCTATGCCACCGCAATAATACAACACTAAATAGTAGTGTAGGAACAGATTTTTTTTGTTTCTTTACAATTTTGAAGATTGTCATAAAGCATAGATCCCTGACCTATCTTACTCTTATTATCAGATAAGTGGTTAAATTAAATGTTAACTCAATAAAAGATCAGAGTAGGAATATATCAATGCACTCGAGTCTAGTGAATTTGGTGGTGAAGGTCATATTTCACACAGCCTAAATTTCATGACTACATCAAAAGGACAACACAGTAAGACACTTTGTCAAAATCTAGGTCAGCTGAAATCAAAGTTCACTTTACATCTTAATCTGTGCACAGGGTTCAAATTTCATAGCTGTACATCAAAGGACAAGAAAGTAGGTCACATCAACAAAATCTAGGTCACCTGATATCAAAGTTCAATTTTACAACTAAAACTGTGCACATGGTCAAAATTTCATTGCTGTACATCAAAGGACAAGAAAGTAGGTCACTGTCAACTTGGGCGAGGCAAAATTTTGGACCCAAGGGCTTAATTCAAAACAATCTTGATACAGGTCCACCAAACAACATTTCAAGTCAAATATCTAAGCTGTAGCTTTCTCCCATTCAGAAAACATTTGTTTTATTTTCTGTTTTTACTATGTGTACATAATGAGAATCACTGCCCCCGGGCAGGGTCAATTTTGACACCAGGGAAAAAATTAGAACAACTTTAGTAGAGGACCTATAGATGATATTATATAGCAAACATCAAAGCTCTATCCCTTGTTCCTTCAGACAAAAATATTTTTTATTTTTTCACTATGTGTACATAGTGAAAATCAATGACCCCAGGGGGTGGGGCCAATTTTGACCCCAGGGCTATAATTTGTACAATCTTGCTAGAGGTTCACTACATATGATGTTTCATGCAAAATATCTTAACTCTAGTCTTTGTAAATTTAAAGAAGATGATTTTTTAAGTTTTTACTTTATACATATAAGGAAAACCTAATTTTGACACTAGATTTTGACACTATAGAGGCAAAATTTGAACAACTTTGGTAGAGTTCCTATAGATGATATCATTTAACAAATATTAAAGCTCTAAGCCTTGTACCTTCAGACAATAAGATTTTTTACTATATATATATTTAAAATCAATGACCCCTGGGGCGGGGGCAATTTTGACACTGGCAGGGCTATAATTCAACAACAATCTTGCTAGAAGTTCACTTCACAATGTTTCATGCAAAATATCTAACCTCTAGCATTTGTCAATTGCTAGAAGAAATTTTTTAAAAGTTTTTACTATAAGTTTTTACTATATACATAAAAGGAAAACCAATGACCCCCCGGGCGGGCCGAATTTGACACCAGGGCTATAATTTGAACAATCTTGGTAAGGGTCTACCAGACAATGCCTTATGCAAAATATCTAAGCTCTAGGCCTTTTGGGTCTTTACAATTAAGAAGGTATTTTAAGTTTTTACTATATTTACATATAGTGAAAATCAATGACACTCGGGGCGGGGCCGATTTTGACCCCAGGGCTATAATTTGAACAATCTTGGTAAGGGTCTACCAGACAATGCCTTATGCAAAATATCTAAGCTCTAGGCCTTTTGGGTCTTTACAAGAAGGTATTTTAAGTTTTTACTATATGTACATATAGTGAAAGTCAATGACCCGCGGGGCAGGGGCAATTTTGACCCTAGGGCTATAATTTGAACAATCTTGGTAGAGGTCTACCAGACAATGCCTTATGCAAAATATCTAAGCTCTAGGCCTTTTGGGTCTTTACAAGAAGGTATTTTAAGTTTTTACTATATGTACATATAGTGAAAATCAATGACCCCCCGGGCCGGGCCAATTTTGACCCAATGGGCTATAATTTGAACAATCTTGGTAGAGGTCTACCAGACAATGCCTTATGCAAAATATCTAAGCTCTAGACCTTTTCAGTCTTTACAAGAAGGTATTTTAAGTTTTTACTATATGTAAATATAGTGAAATCAATGACCCCCGGGGCGGGGCCGATTTTGACCCCAGGGCTATAATTTGAACAATCTTGGTAAAGGTCTACCAGACAATGCCTTATGCAAAATATCTAAGCTCTAGGCCTTTTGGGTCTTTACAAGAAGATTTTTTAAATTTATTCTTTTAATTCCTTTTGGTTGCCATGGCAACCAGATTTCTGCATGGAATGAAATTCTTTGAACAACTTTGGAACCCCTTCACCCAAGGATCAATCCTGCCAAGTTTGGTTGAAATTGGACTAGTGGTTTTTCACAAGAAGATTTTTTAAGTTCACTATATAATCTATATAACACACACACACACAAACAAACAAACACACACACACACACACGCACACACACACAGGTGAATCGCTATATGCCACCGCATCGCAGATGCTGCGGTGGCATAAAAATAAGAAGTCATATAAGCTTTGAATTACCCTTTCCTTTTTGCTTCAAAATATCAACTATATTTTCAAAATGCTTTCACCCTGACTCAGCTGAATTTGTGAAATAGACTAGTCCTACTTTGACTTTGGAACAGTCCATTGTTACTTAAGGGGATTTTGATATCAAAATGCTCAAATTCATTATTTACAAGGGTTTCAATCTCAAAAATCTGAAAATGAGCTGGCAACAGTACCGAGTCCGGTCAGACTGCATGGCTGTGAAGGCCGGCCCGACTTTGTACTGGTGGCAAAGGCAAGTTCGTCATTTCAAAGTGAATTCAAATGGAGCAGTGTAATACTAAGTACTGGGGTGATACATAAATATAGTATTTGCATCTTAAATAAACTTCATTATGTCACAGCAATTTCATCTTATACATAATTGAGCCGCGTCACGACAAAACCAACATAATGCGTTTGCGACCAGCATGGATCCAGACCAGCCTGCGCATCCGCGCAGTCTGATCAGGATCCATGCTGTTCGCTTACCAACTCTTTAACAAGTAATGAAACTGATAGCGAACAGCATGGATCCTGATCAGACTGCGCAGTAGCACAGGCTGGTCTGGATCCATGCTGGTCGCAAACGCACTATGTTGGTTTTGTCGTGACACGGCTCATATAACCAATTGTAAATATAAAATAAAACTTTCTAAAATCAAATGATATACCCCAAAACACTACATTAAAGTGACATTATGCTCACATTTTTTTCTGTCAAAATAAGCAGAATTAGGTGTAATATATACTATAAGATTTAATATATTAACTGCCTAAAATATGAAACACTGCACAAGTCTTTTTGAATTTTTTCGATACATTACAAGGATATTATATAATTTTCTGTAAGCCATATGTGTTATTGATCATACATATGTAGTAGAATATAAAATTTAGAAATAAATTGTCCAAACATATAGTTATTTCCACATTGACTGGTACTCTTACAATTTACACTTGCATGGGCATAATATCACTTTGATAAATGTTCTTGAAAAGTTTAACACAATAATGCTTACAAAAAATACACTAAATAACCCTCTAGTTATTCAGATTTTTTTGTTCAATATTTTAAATCAGAAAATAGACAAAATGATAAAACAAGAGGGCCATGATGGCCCTGAGGTCGCTCACCTGTATATAGACCCCCCCCCCCGGCCCAATTTTTACCCAAGGGCTTTTATTTGTTTATTTGAACAGACTTGGTAGACACCCATAGGAAGTTGTTTCATGCAAAACATCTAAGTTCTAGCTCATTGGGTTTTTAAAAAGAAGATTTTTTAAGTTTTTACTATACACATATAGTTAAAAACAATGACACCCCTCGGGCAGGGCCAGTTTTGACCCCTGGGCTTTTATTTGAACAAACTTTGTAGATATTTACTTAAAGATGTTTCATGCTTAATATCTAAACTCTAGTTATTTAGGTTTTTTCAAAGAAGATTTTTAAGTTTTTGCTATGTATATAAGGAAAATCAATGATCCCCGGTGCGGGGCCAGTTTTGACCCCAGGGCTTTTATTTGAACAAACTTGGTAGACACCCATTAGAACATGTCTCATGCTAAATATCTTAGCTCTAGCTCTTTGGGTTCTTTAAAAGAAGATTTTATAAGTTTTACTATATGCATATAAGGAATATCAATGACCCCCTGGGGCGGGGCCAATTTGGACCCCAGGGCTTTTATTTGAACAAACTTGGTAGACATTCACTAGAAGATGTTTCATGCCAAATATCTAAGCTTTAGCTCTTACGATTCTTTAAAAGAACATTTTTTAAGTTTTTACTATATGCATATAGGGAAAATCAATGACCCCCGGGGCGGGGCCAATTTTGACCCCAGGGCTTTTATTTGATCAAACTTGGTAGACATTCAATAGAAGATGTTTCATGCCAAATATCTTAGCTCTAGCTCTTACAGTTCTTTAAAAGAAGATTTTTTAAGTTTTTACTTTATGCATATAGGGAAAATCAATGACCCCCTGGGGCGGGGCCAATTTGGACCCCAGGGCTTTTATTTGAACAAACTTGGTAGACACCCATTAGAACATGTCTCATGCTAAATATCTTAGCTCTAGCTCTTTGGGTTCTTTAAAAGAAGATTTTATAAGTTTTTACTATATGCATATAAGGAATATCAATGACCCCCTGGGGCGGGGCCAATTTTGACCACAGGGCTTTTATTTGAACAAACTTGGTAGACATTCACTAGAAGATGTTTCATGCCAAATATCTAAGCTCTAGCTCTTACGATTCTTTAAAAGAAGATTTTTTAAGTTTTTACTATATGCATATAGGGAAAATCAATGACCCCCGGGGCGGGGCCAATTTTGACCCCAGGGCTTTTATTTGAACAAACTTGGTAGACATTCACTAGAAGATGTTTCATGCCAAATATCTTAGCTCTAGCTCTTACAGTTCTTTAAAAGAAGATTTTTTAAGTTTTTACTTTATGCATATAGGGAAAATCAATGACCCCCTGGGGCGGGGCCAATTTGGACCCCAGGGCTTTTATTTGAACAAACTTGGTAGACATTCACCAGAAGATGTTTCATGCCAAATATCTAAGCTCTAGCTCTTACAGTTCTTTAAAAGAAGATTTTTTAAGTGTTTACTATATGCATATAGGGAAAATCAATGACCCCCTGGGGCGGGGCCAATTTTGACCCCAGGGCTTTTATTTGAACAAACTTGGTAGACACTCACTAGAAGATGTTCCATGCTAAATATCTTAGCTCTAGCTCTTTGGGTTCTTTAAAAGAAGATTTTTTAAGTTTTTACTATATGCATATAGGGAAAATCAATGACCCCCCGGGGCGGGGCCAATTTTGACCCCAGGGCTTTTATTTAAACAAACTTGGTAGACACTCATTAGAAGATGTTTCATGCCAAATATCTAAGCTCTAACTCTTAGGGTTGTTTAAAAGAAGATATTTAAAGATTTTTCTTTCGGTTGCCATGGCAACCAGAGTTCTGCATGGAATTAAATTCTTTGAACAATTTTTAAAGGTGACCACCAAAGGAACATTCCTGTGAAGTTTGGATGAAATTGGCTCAGTGGTTTATGAGGAGATGTCTTTTAAAGCAAAAGTTTACGGACGGACGACGGACGGACGACGGACGGACGGACGGACGACGGACGGACGGACGGACGCCGGACGAAAAGCGATCACAAAAGCTCACCCTGTCACTTTGTGACAGGTGAGCTAAAAATAATAATAACATAATTGTAAAATAAAACATGAATCTCTTTTACTTTCTCTATATGTTTCAATTTACTTCATTGTACACATAGGAAAGTGAACTAAAACCAGTACTGTTCTTAGACATGTAAAATATGTTTTAAATATCAATTTCCTTGCCAAATTTTACTGTGAAAGTCCGCTTTTTAATCCATACAAAACATACCCTTGCCCCTAAAAACAAATCCAATCCTTTGACTAAATTCCTAAATTTCAAAATGTCCAACATTTGATGTGAGAAGAGAATGTGTATCCATTGCTGATGAAAATTTAGTTCCTAGAATGACTGTAGCTATGGTAACTGGGTTGTGAAGAGTTCAAAAGGGCGGGGAAGGAGTGATAGTGTCACATGACAACACATTGCTTATGTCCATTGCCCTTTGTCTTCAGGCGCGATTTAGGACGGTAATGCTCGAGGAAGGACAGCTGCTTGGAATTGATAGCACCTCTCCTCTTCCTGTAATATAAAAGGAAAGTGAGTTGTTATTATTAAAGCTAATAGTTTGTGTTATATGCAATTAATGACTGATTTTGCAGTATTTATCGCCATATTTCTACTTATCACAGTAAGGGCTATTTTATATGCTCTGACCTCTTATAAGTAATCTAAGTGTATTATAATTGCTCATTGCAATGTATTATACACTTTCTTTGTTCTCTACAAAATATTTTACTTTTCAATACAATTTTTTTTAACTTTTCGGGAAAATACATATGAATCTGGTCATAATAATAACAAGATATGTTTGTAAAACATGTATGCCCCCTATCTGCAGCCAATTAGTCATGTGATAAGGTTATTATGCATGACTTCTGACCCAGTGATCAAACAATTAATAAGGGTTATCAAGTATCTACTGGTCATGTACTTAACCTTTGACCCCTTGACCCAAAACTCAATAGGGGTCATCTGCTGGTCACGACCAATCATCATACAAAGTTTGAAGTTCCTAGGCCTAAGCGTTTTTAGTTAATTGATCGGAAACCGTTTTTACCTACAATGTCAATGTGACCTTGACCTTTGACCCCTTGACCCAAAATCAATAGGTCATCTGCTGGTCATGACCAATCACCATCCCAAGTTTGAAGTTCCTAGGTCTAAGGGTTCTTTAGTTATTGATCGGAAACCGTTTTAACATACAAGGTCAATGTGACCTTGACCTTTGACCCCAAAATCAATAGGGGTCATCTGCTGGTCATGACCAATCACCATGCCAAGTTTGAAGTTCCTAGGCCGAAGCGTTCTTTAGTTATTGATCAGAAACCGTTTTTACTTACAATGTCAATGTGACCTTGACTTTTGACCCCTTGATCCCAAAATCAATAGGGGTAATCTGCTGGTCATAACAAATCACCATACCAAGTTTGAAGTTCCTAGGCCTAAGCGTTCTTAAGTTTTTGATCTGAAACCGTTTTTACTTACAAGGTCAATGTGACCTTGACCTTTGACCCCTTGACCCAAAACTCAATAGGGGTCATCTGCTGGTCATGACCAATCATCATACAAAGTTTGAAGTTCCTAGGCCTAAGCGTTTTTAGTTAATTGATCGGAAACCATTTTTACCTACAAGGTCAATGTGACCTTGACCTTTGACCCCTTGACCCCAAAATCAATAGGTCATCTGCTTGTCATGACCAATCACCATACCAAGCTTGAAGTTCCTAGGTCTAAGGGTTCTTTAGTTATTGATCGGAAACCGTTTTAACATACAAGGTCAATGTGACCTTGACCTTTGACCCCAAAATCAATAGGGGTCATCTGCTGGTCATGACCAATCACCATGCCAAGTTTGAAGTTCCTAAGCCTAAGAGTTCTTAAGTTATTGATTGTAAAGCATTTTTACCTACAAGGTCAATGTGACCTTGCCCATTGACCCCTTAACCCCAATATCAATAGGGGTCATCTGCTGGTCATGACAAATCACCATACCAAGTTTGAAGTCCCTTGGCCTAAGGGTTCTTTAGTTATTGATCGGAAACCATTTTAACCTAAGAGGTCAATGTGACCTTGACCTTTGACCCCTTGACCCCAAAATCAATAGGGGTCATCTACTGATCATGACCAATCACCATATCAAGTTTGAAGTTCCTAGGCCTAAGGGTTCTTTCATTATTGATCGAAACTGTTTTTACCTACAAGGTCAATGTGACCTTGACCTTTGACCCCTTAACCCTAAAATCAATAGGGGTCATCTGCTGGTCATAACCAATCACCATACCAAGTTTGAAGTTCCTAGGCCTAAGGGTTCTTTTGTTATTGGTCAGAAACCGTTTTTACCCAAGAGGTCAATGTGACCTTGACCTTTGACCCCTTGACCCCAAAATCAATAGGGGTCATCTACTGATCATGACCAATCACCATACCAAGTTTGAAGTTCCTAGGCCTTAAGGTTCTTTAGTTATTGATCGGAAACCGTTTTTGCTTACAAGGTCAATGTGACCTTGACCTTTGACCCCTTGACCCCAAAATTAATAGGGGTCATCTACTGGTCATGACCAATCACCATACCAAGTTTGAAGTTCCTAGGCCTAAGGGTTCTTTAGTTATCACTCGGAAACCATTTGGTCTACGGACCGACGGACCGACAAGTGCAAAGCAATATACCCCCTTTTCTTCGAAATGGGGGCATAATAATTTATCAAAGGGAAACTATTCTTATAAATAAAGCAATGCAAATAATTGCAGTTGCTTCCCTTTACACAGTATTATTAATAAAGTTGTAAACAGGACTTTAATGGCAAAGCAGGATTCAAACAAACAAAATTACAAGACTTATTAACATAACACTGTTATACACTCACTACGTTCATGCATTTTTAAGACTTGCAAAATTTTCAACATTCCAGAGTTCATTTTTGAGAATTTCCAGCTTTACTGACCAATTTGCTATTTATTTAACAAAACAAAATAGGTAGACAAGTTTGACAGCAACCTCTCATGAATTTTTTGTATTCTTTCCGTTGACAATTCTGAACATAAATCAATAAACAGTTTAAGGTGTTAATATAATTTTGCTTGGTTTTAACAACATGCGAGAAAAAAACACTTTATATTGGTTGAATATAGTATCAGACACAATGTTTTCATATTTAAGTAATTAGAGTTTAGTGTTCCATACTCTATAATACAATTTTTGTTAAGATACAATGAGAGTTTAGAGAAAGATATTTCCGATAAATTAGCATTAGATGAGTCTAAGAAAGTATCATCAAGCCTCACTACGGCAAGCATTTCTGAGAAAAGTAAGCCTAACAAATTGACAATAAATGTGAAGTTCTTCTTCATGCATTATCTTTTTAAAGTCACATAATACTGCACCTTCAGGCATGATTTAGTTTTAGTAAAATGAAGGAGTCAATCAAATGCAAGTCAGGATCAAAATATTCTTAAAGTGACCCTTTTTATTGTATATCTCATCATACTTCTATCATAACTTATATATATATATATTCAGTCGTTAGACAAGTCATCATTATGTTGGCGACGACATATCGAATCACATTTGTATGCAATATGTAAGTTCTTTCATTCTCATCATGTTCATGTACATTACGTAATGGATGTAACGGTTATATTACTAGTATACTGAAATCAAGCAACATCTTATGACGATAAAAGTTTACATACTGTCGGATGAGTTCCACTGCATCCTCGTACTTCAGTCCACATTCAATTAGTGCAAGCGCCACCAAAACTGGTGCTCTGTGAAAACAAAATGCAAAATATAGTACATCTATATAAACTTTGAAAGAACATCATACTCAGAAACATCCCTGGAACGTTTCATTATCCTGATGCATCAGTTGATGTTGTTTACAGCAACAAATTAAAGAAAATTGCACTGGCCAATCATAAAGCTAACCTTTATGGACTGTCCTCAGGTGTGCTACAAAGGGAATGGACATTAACCCTTTCCGTCCTTACTTTGTCATGAACTATCTTTTTTTAACCTACTGAATTTTTGTGGTATTTTTGCCCTTCTTTGAATGATTCAGTGATACAAAAACAAGGTTGTTATCATGACACACAGTATATCTATTATTCACTTCACAAAAATGTTCCATAAATAAGTTTCACACACTGTACAACAAACTTGAAAATTCCCCCAGTGTCGCTAGTTGTAAACACTTCCTTAATGTATATCCTCAATTTTAAAATCCTTTTAAAAGTTAGAAACACTTACAAATAAACTGCACAAATGAGTTTCCTTAAAGATTGCAATAACCTAGATTAAAATAGTTTACTATCATCTATTAAATCATTATGTCCCTACATATTCTTATGATGCTAAAAGCAATCACAACAAGCTTTATATAAAGGAGAACTTTTTCAATAGAAAAACCCTTAGCTCAATAGGGAGAGCATTGGAGTTATAATCCAATGGTGGCTGGTTCAATTCCCAGGCTTAAAAAAAAATTCTCCATGACAATTGCTCTTGCATACCAAGTCCAATGGTCAATTGTCCTTCACCACTGATTCATCAATCATGTGGGATAAGTAGTTGGTCATGTGTGGAGAAAAATGGTAATAGTTGGTAAGTTAAAGGAAAGCGGGTATAAATTATTATTTCAAAACATGAAGTGCCCAGCTTAAAGTACTCCTGAAAAGTTGTAAAGCATTTTTTTTATTATAATGTATAGTTTGGCCCAACTGGCAATAGAAACTGTAGCAGTCACTGTGCTTTTGCCACAAGCTCAGGAAGCTAACATCACTGCCAGGAATAGAGTCTAGTAAGGAAATACTAATGCAGGTTAAAACACACACCTTCCTAACCCCGCTACACAGTGGACAGCCACACAACATCCTGGCTCCTCCTTGAACCTTGTCTTTAGGAGATTGAACCATTCATCTACTATTTTACTAGGTGGAGGGTTCCCATCATCAAACTGCCAGTCCTGAAAATATATATACATGTACATAATATTCTTTGTTAATACATTGTTTATTTAGATTTATACAAATATACCTTTAAGTAACCATGATTTATACAAATATACCTTTAAGTGTTCATGATTAATACAAATATACCCTTAAGTAACAATGATTTATACAAATATACCCTTAAGTTAAAAATATACCCTTAAGTAACAATGATTTATACAAATATACCCTTAAGTAACCATGATTTATACAAATATACCCTTAAGTTACAAATATACCCTTAAGTAACCATGACTTAACATTCAAAACAAGCATTTTTCAATCTTATCCCGATGTAGCTTAAATCAGTTCAAAGTACTCTACTTAATGAATCAAGGAAGTAATGACCAAATTTAAATTTATCTGCAGACAGAAAAACTTGTTAGTAAATTAAAACTCAAAATCAACATTCAGCATTAGAATCTATTGTTTCAAACTAACAGTAATACTTTTCGTGTAATAGTTGTAAAAACAGGTATTGTCATTAGAGAAATTAAGTAAATCAAGATATCGGCTAAGAAACATTATCTCATCTTACACGACAGACCACATAAGAAAGAACAAGGCTCTGCAACATTCTCATGTTATAAAAAACCAACCCTCCACAGACAGTACACATGTAACAGACAGTACACATGTACCGGGGTAAACTCTGCCAATACATCAGGAATATTACTCCAGCCAGCCTACAGGTTTCCTTGACTTTTTTTCATTTTTAATGTTTGAACAATCTTACAATGTAAAGGAACATTCATACAGACTTTCTTGCATACAGGCAAAAAAAAAATAATATAATACGCATAATGATAGCTGTTTCTACATACGGACCATCCTTATTTTCCACCTACACTGTAAACATTGAGAAAATAAAACGCTCCTGCAGCGTCTGATACTGTTCCGGGAAGCAAAACAAACTCTTGTATTTGAAGGAATTATTCTTTACTGTGATAATGATTTCCCATTAAATCTTAATACCATTAAGGTGTAAAACTTAAGTGGTTATGATTACCAAATGCTGCAGCCGAGAAGACTAATATGAAAGATAAGACAACAAAAATAGTTTCCCTGTTACAAAAAAAGCCTATAAGAAACTTTAAACAATATCTGACATCACAATAGATATACATGTACTTCATTTCCTACTTTCAGTTCTTAATTTTACTCAAAGTTTGTTTGGTTTTTTTTTGGTTTTTTTTTCATAGCACTCAAGCTTCTTTAACTTCAAGGAAAAATCCACTCTGTTGGTAATTTCACACAGCATTAGTGGAGGCGGAACAACATATCTTTTGGAAGTACCAAAAGGAAGGTGTGTTTTATTTGTCTACCAAGTATTAGAAGGTAGACAAATAAAATCCCCTGAATACCCCATTACTGCTAGTTGTACATATCCCTTCAATGTGCTAGTTTTGACACCAAAATAAAATCTTTTCCTCCCAGACAGAGAACAGACTGAAGGTAAAAACCCTGTGCATTTCCAAAAGCTATTTCCAGCAATTGCCTAGAGGTTTGGACTGAGTTTTAACATATACCCACATATTAACATTGACAGGTTCACCTTCCTATTATTGAGATTATGCAAGGTGTCTTCTGATAACTAGTCGTGTTTTGTTTGTGTTTTGCATCACACTAATACAATAAAGGTCATATGGCGCCCTTATAGGAAAGGCAACACCCTCCACCCACCCTCAGCCTCAAGGGGAGGCAGCTATTCCCTTATTGAGGGGTGCTAAGGAAGGAAGATCATTAGCTTGCCCTCACTCTGGCAAATAATATTAGACAATTAGATATAATCACAGACAGGACTGTGTATATAGTGAACACTAACCGAAAACTAGATGGCAGTATGTAAACAATTACTTGAAGATAAACATCATAATGTTCCGTTCCAAATAAACTAGTTACAATGCACTGCTCTAGAGACTATTCTTTTTTTATTCATAACATTATGTCTGGGGTAACTAAAGTCTGTATATATAAACAGAATACCAACATTTCACACCTATAGAATACAACAGACAACAAGACAGATAAAATGTTCACTGATGTCCTACAAGCAGAGAAAATGACTTAACTGCCTCAGCCACCAGTGTAGAGGCATGTTAGTCCTGATATTCCACCCTTTACCACTTTAAATGGACTATCACAAATCTAATTTGAAATCCAGGAGTCCCTGGTTTGACCCTCGTGTTTGGCCAAAAATTATTGTGCGATACGATCCTGGGCATTGAGCCTTATGGTCATTTGTCCTGCAAGCAGTAGTTAGTCATTTGTAGGGAAATTATAACTGGTTAGTTATCAAGAAAATCTCCTTTAGTGGACTGATGACAAGATGACCAAAAATGTTTTAAAACGGGCATAAAAAAAACCAGAAAATTAAACAAGCCTAACTTTACCTAACTGTAGCATAATTATGTCTTTAAGGAAAACAATATGCCCTATATGACATGTTTATAAAGGAAAATAACTTAAGATTCACTTTGCAACATAAAATTTTTCCTTCTTCATATCGCTATTCAAAAGTCAAAATTAAACAATTTATCCTGTAGGATCTATACTTTCAGTAACAACAAAAACACAACAACAAACACTTTTGTCATTCATCTTTCACAGGTAATTTCTGGCACAGATTCCCCCAAACACTTGCCAACATTCTGTTTGGTTACAAAATTACATACATTCTCCAATATGTTATTGTTCGATGTTTTGTTATTGTTCCAGCCACTTCAAAGGGGAAATCGGTTAGCAATGTAACAGTGGCTGTGAAATTACTTATATATCACTATTTTGAACAGGTAATTCTACCTACTGAGTTACTTTTAAACAAGTAAGACAACTGAGAAAAGTTTGAAAATTAAAGCTTTTAAATGCTTAAAAAGGATATATTTGTCACTTAAGTGTCAGGAACTCTGTGGCGACTTTCTTTATTGGTATTGTGTACATACAATGATACATGTATGTAGATTTGTTTGTTTGGTTTTACGGCGCACCAATACTGTATAGGTCATATGGCATCAAAACAGGAAAGATGATTTTGGCTAACCTCAGGTGTCGCAAACTTCAAAGCGACACCAAGGTTAAAAACCACCCCACCTGCTGGAGCTAAGAGATACATAGACTATAGTTATTTGAACACAGTCACCTCTTAGGATCATTTAGGGATAAACAGTAGCTGCAATTCTTATGCCTTAAACATAAAAGGCAACCCCTAAGCCACAAGGGGCACAAGTATGTAGAATCTCTCAATTTTTGACTTTCTTCATTTTTCACGTTAATACTTACTATACTAAATACCTTAGACTTGTCCATCTTTCAATCAAGACAAAACACTTAAACCATTCTTCAATTTAGGGAAAATTAAAAAAATAAGTTTAATATAAATGAATGGGAACAGTGCTGAATAAGATCAGAAGACTGATTTTGGCTGCACTGGCCGCATTGGTATATACAGTTGTTGCCACTCAGCTAGAGGATTTCAGGCACAGACAGGCGCCCGTGTAGAACCACCAACCATCCGCAAGCTTGCTGGATAGCCATCTCCCCCTTAATGACAATATTTCTACAGATTAAAGAGCAGAACCAACTAAAAGTAGACACCTTCTGCAGTGCTCTAAGTGACATTATATTACAACAACTTAATATATAACCAACAACATATCCAAATAACCAACATATATCCAAATACAAACACAGCCATCATAATGAAATTTTTGTGAAAATATTGACTTAAATTTAGAAAGTGTCTCTGTATCTGTTAGTGAGAATAATTATAATTGAAATATCAAGGTATGACTATGACGTTCATATGAAAGTATCAATATAATCTACAAACAATCCAATGTTTTGCTATTGACAAAATAACCGAAATAATGGTTTTGTATGAAAACAAGGCAAATGCTGTGCAGCAGCTATTATTAGTAATCAGTAAAGTGGTGCCAAATCATTTGGAAAGTCAAGTCACAAGTTTCTTGGCTTTCTGACAATGTTTGCAAGTTACGCATAATATATAAGTGACCTATGCCTGGAAATGCCTGCCAATAGTGTAATATAATCACAATATCTAAAATAGAATTGTTTTGCATCCTCTAGATTATTTTACCACTAATTTACATTCAATTAGCACAATCTTTTTTTCATTTATTTCTGTCTTAAATTGATTTCCCAATTATGTTACACAATGCAAGAGTTCATGTCTGTGTGTGCAGGTCTCTTTATATTGGGTGTACAGCAACAATTCTACTGTAAAATCAGATGTTTCATAGAGGTGTAACGATTCATCGATGCATCGATGCATCGCGATCTGTCTTGTCCCCGATGTATGCATCGTAATGAAATTACAAATTCCAATATATTGCGATGCAATACATATTTCACCTCCCGATGTATCGATACAGCGGGAAGGTATCGCAATACACTAACAATATCTTCCAGGAATATAAGGACAAAACGTAGTTTTTGAAAGATTGAAGAAAGAAAAATAGCTCGGATAAAAACAATAAACAAGCGCGACTATTATCATACCATCGTTGTCATCTCGTTTCCCCATGTCCGCAATCATTTAATGGTTACTAACCAAGTTTTATCTATTCCATGTAAATGGGCTGGTGTTCTTTGAACTTGTTGATAATAAAAACATAATTAGAGATCTGTGCGATTTCAAGAATAAACAACCTACAAACATGAATTTGTAATTTTATTTTGTAGCACTTAAATAGTGATGATGACAACATCCCCATGTGATATTCGTCACGTATTTATACTTTCATTTCCGTTGACATCATTTTCCCGTAAAAAAACAAGAAAGCAAGCAAACAAACAGAAAACATGAAGACTGCAAAATATGTAGACGGGGAAATTACAGTCAATCCTCCTTGGTCATATAAGTCACGAGTATTGGGAAATTGTAGTTTTTGGGGAACCATCAGACAGTGTTGTATAATGTGGAAGACCGGACGCGGAGTGTTTGCAAAATTTGCAAACTCAAAATAAAATACTCTGGGGTTGAGCACAAATCTTTCGAGAAAACTGAGACTGAAACTTATAAACTGTCATTTTCACAGTTGTTGACCTAAATGTAGATCACTTGTTACTATTTTTTCACAAGAAAAATCTTTAGTGGTGTATTGTAAGACTGAAATTGTTAAACTGCCATATTTACAGTGGTGGACTTTAGTGTTAGAATAGCAAGTAGATATCAATTTGCTGTTATGTTTAATTAAAAATACCTTTAATCCTCAAGTAATCAGAAAAGTAAATTGTTAAAAGATCAAAATTGGAAACTCAAGTTATAACAACAAGTTAAAGAGTTTATTTTTTTGTTATTGTAATTAAAGTTTTATATTGTATTCGTAATTATGCTGTAAACAAATGGCCATTTTTTTATATACTATGTCTTAAGTCAGTATCGTGATACGTATCGCATCGCAACATAAGAATCGCAATATGCATCGCATTTCTTCAAAGTATGCAATACATATCGTGAATCGCATCGTTTTGAAAAACAAATATCGTGATATGTATCGTGACAGAAAAAAATGGCAATGCACAGCCCTAATGTTTCATAGGTGTAAAATTTCACAAAATCAACATTATATCAAAATCAAAATACTTGTGAATTTCTACTTTCAGTTAAGTTTAATCAATAGACAAACATCTTTTCTCCAAAATATCTGCAATTTGCGAAATTCCTTGGCAAAATTTTTGTTGTTATATCAATGAACAAGACAAGTATCTATCTGACGACTTGGTCATGACAATTTGTTTTCTTCAAAAAGTGGAGCTGAAAATGAACTCCATTTACCACTATTTTACTATTAAAGCTGACCAAACTAAACTGTAGATGTCAAACTTTATAATTTAATAGACAATTCTAAATCAAGAGTAAGAAAAGTCCATTAATTACACAAATTTAAAGGTAAGGTCTAAATGGTCACTTAAGTTTCCTGGTATTATTGGATAGTGGATACTACAATAAAAACTTAAATATATGTATGTATACAGTCTCAATTTCCGCAATTTACAGTTTATTTAAACTAAATACTTTGTGGCCATTACAGTGCTCCTATACCACTTTAGATTTATCTTCAATTTAGGATAAAGAATTTGAAGTATTTAACCTTGCGTAGGCGATATATTTAACCGAGTAGAAGTTTCGAGTAGAAGTTTCGGTACATTTAAATATAATACTATATAAAAGTTAAAAATGCCTGTAATATCATATCACATAGATGACTGTATTATTTGTTATACGAATGTATATAAATATATCAAATGTGTCTGCATTTGGAAATATATAACTGTCATACAATTATGGGAAAAAAGGACATAATAATTCCAATTTCAGGTTTCCATGAAGCATTAGAGACTAAATGTTAAAGAAATTACCAGTACTGTACAATTTATTACCTCATGACATCCACAACACCCTAACCTGTATGTCAGTGACTTTTGTAACCTAATTAACATTAATGCCAACACAAAATGTGTTTAAGTCTAAAACCGGTGCTCATAATGACAGACTTTTTAAAGTCTAGCTACATTAATTTTGTAATTGCTGAATTCTTGCTTTTTTAAATCTCAAAATGGAATTTGATGAACAATTTGACCTTATGACAGTTTGTTTGTTTGTTTGTTTCATTTTACGCCTTTTCCCCAACAGTATTTCAGTCATATAGGCAGGTAGTTTCTTAACCATTACACCAGTACTAGACTACCTTCCTCCGCACTAAATTTCCAAAGCATCTCCCGGGGATCGAACCCACACCAGAGAGGTAACTTGATTAGAAGTCATTGACTCTAACCCCTCGACCACGGAGGCGGTCACCATAGGACATTTAGGAGTACCTGAATGGGCTATTATTGCACATTATACAAAAGATGATACTGGCTTCACACTACCTTGATTTACTATCCGAAAATATAAAGTGTCCAGGGTTTTAAGCAGAACTATATGTAAAACTATAACACCTTTTCATCACTGTAAATGATCGCGGGTTAACCATAAAGGCCGAATATGCCCCAGAAATGCTTTTATTATTCTCAAAATATTTTTTATTTGTTGTGTCCTATCATATTTCTAAATGGTTACTCATTTGCCAATAATCTGGTCCATTTATTAATTTTCTTTTTTTTATTATTTTTTTTATTTTTTGCTTCTGTTGCTTTTTGGCAATTAGTAAAGTTATAGTGATTAAATATTTTTGTATAGAAGTCAGAATACTACTTTGTGTTTACATTTTGCTATTTTTATGACAAATAGATTCAAATTCAGTGCTACTATCTTCAGGTTTTAAGCATCCAACATGCTCTAAAATCATGATTTAAATATTTAAATTTCATTTTAAACTTTTGTTGGCCTTTATAAAGAACAGGGAAACAATTTTTTGAGGAATAATGTGCCTTTAAAGTTTTAGGTTATCCTTTCTGCTCTGTATCATTTATAAATTTGATACCACAGGGTAGAAGGAAATTAAAATCAAACTAAATATCACACAAAAGGAGTCAAATCAAATCAAGCCAATGAAAATACTTCACAAGGAGATAAAACAAGAGCTGTCCGTAAGACAGCGCGCTCGACTTTTTTATTGCTTGCCAATAAAAAAAGTTTTTGCAGTAAAAGGCAATACAAGAATCTCTGTATTTTTAAAGTGAACAATGGCCATGAGCATTAAGATATTTAGTGAAGAATTATTTTACTGAATTGTGTGATACCCTTGAACACTGCAGCAAAGTTTGAAATGTTTAAGTCAAAAGAGGGCTGGTAAGAAAGAAAAAAAAACTGAGTTGAGCCTTAAATAAATTTAATAGTATTAAACCCACTTTGAGAGAATAAGGTATTTTTACGTCACTCAGAACTACTGATTTTAATTTCAAGTACAAAAAGAGAAAAATAACTAGTTGTTTGATACCCTTGAATATTACAGCAATGTTTATATGACATAATTTATGGTAAAGTGAACAAGTGGATAGGAATGAATTTTTTTAGATTTTTTAAGTTTTTTAGTGCTTGCCTATAATACAAAACATTGACAGTTAAGGGCCATAATTCAAATAAAATCTTTGACAGAATTACCTTCTCCTGGACATGTTTGGGAATCATGATTGTAAACAAGTATTCCAACTTTCAAATTAATATCTCAAACAGTTCAGTCAAAAAGTGGACTGGTACTAAAAACTTAACCAAGATTCTAAGTCGATAAAAGGCCTTCATTTTTAAAACAAATCCTTGACAGAGTTACCTTCTCTTGCGTACAGATGGGGGTAATGATGTGAAATAGCATTAAAAGTTTCAAAGCAATATCTCAAAGGGTTAAGGCAATAAGTGGATTTTACCCATATTCAATGTATTTTCTAAGTCAAAAAGGGGCATAATTCTGTCAAAAACCTTGACAGAGTTATGTCCTCTTGTCTGTTGATGAAGGTCGTGATGGTAAACAAGTATGGTCAGTTTCAAAGCAATACCTCCAATGGTTTTGAAATAAAGTGAGGTGGTACAAAAAACTTAACCAAGCTCAATACACTTTCTAAGTCAAAAAAGGGCCATAATTCTGTCAAAAACCTTGACAGAGTTATGTACTCTTGTCTGTAGATGGAGGTTATGATGGTGAACAAGTATGGTAAGTTTCAAAGCCATACTTGTAATACTTCTGAAATAAAGTGGGGTGGTACGAAAAACTTAACCAAGGTGTGACGCCAACGCCGACGCCGACGCCGGGGCGAGTAGGATAGCTCCCCTTTTCATAGAAAAGTCGAGCTAAAAAAGCATGAACAAATATTACATGTCTCACAATAAAAAAAAATCCAAAAGCTTCTATTGACACAGACAAGTGTTGTGATCAGAATCCCCCAGGAGCTCTTTGTCATAATATAAATCAATAGGAGCAGATTCACAGGGATATGTCAGATAGTGATAATTTCTTCCAAGTGACCTTTCAGCTGTATCATTCTCTGATATGATCCACAAAATTGATTAACCCTTCACCTGAATGAACTTGACCAGCATCCAGTTTTGGTCAAATTGGAACTGTCCATTATCAACTTAATGGTTAACAAGATGAGACTTTGGTCAGCTTACATTGTAGAGTCTGGTCGGACAGACTACACAGATATAGCAAGGGCTTAGTTTTCAAATAGTCACAAGTGCTTTATGTACTTGTATTCAAATAATCGCCTATCTCCTGTCAAAAGCTGATACAGTTTTCATTTTTCAATCGCAAATTTTTTACTCTGCAAAACAAGAGTAAAGCCAGTGTCTATTCTAGGATTTGAAAAACGGGATTTTTATGGAAAAGTTAGAATTTATTACATTACATTTGCTGATTTTGTTCCTTCTTTCTCTATGTAAAATATTTTCCCCAAGTCTCTGAAAAAACAGTGGAATAGAATTATTAAAAATATGAGTGAATCCCCCCATCCCCTCTCCTATTATAGACACTGTAAAACTATAATCTATTGCACTTAAGGATGCAATGGTGTATATATCGCCTATTTAAATCAAGGGACTTTACCTTTAGCCTGCCAATGGCAACAGAATCTACCCATGTAACCAGTGCTGATGAAGATCAAGGTATGCACTGTTCATGATGGTGATAGAATCTACTTATGTAACCTGTGCAGTCTTCCAAGTTATCTAAACTTTATTTGAAATTACCCTAGTTTTAACATGCATCTGCCAGCAACTTACAGTTGTTGTTTAGTGTTGTTTTTTTTTTTTGTTTAAGGAAGACAAAGTTATTCAGTCAAGTAACAAAGTTGTTATCAAGTTTAACTGGTACTTGTATGCCGTGTTTTTCCTGCACATGTTTACCATGATAATACTTGAACTCTCATACGTTTGACCCGTAACATAGATGAAAATTTCTGACTGGAATTCCTCATATAATACTCACCAGCACCCGGATCCCTTCAATATCAAGCTTGTCCGTCTTGTAAGTGGGCTCACACACCCGAACAACATCCTTAGCACCCCTTTTCTTCAACTCCTATCAATATAATATTCAACATGAATCTTTATCTATAAATGCTCAATTTACAAACTTTCAAATTAAATATAAACATGTATTATCTATATATTTTTTGTTGGGTCATGAGGAGACTTTCCAGCTTTACTAATGAAGGAAGAACTTTGGTGCCCCTCAGTACATTATTTCAGGCACAAACAGACTCCCAAGTAGAAAAATATTTGAGCCGCGTCATGACAAAACCAGCATAATTGGTTTGCGACCAACATGCATCCAGACCAGCCTGCGCATCCGCCCATTCTGATCAGGATCCATGCTGTTCGCTATCAGTTTCTCTACTTGTTATAAGAGTTGCAGCAGGCTGGTCTGGATCCATGCTGGTGGTAAACCCATTAACTTGGTTTTGTAGTGACGCGGCTCAGTTAGGATTTGTTCCCATAATCCTGCACAATCTGACAAAGCAAAAGTCAAAAGATGATAAAAAACTACTGACAATTTCAAGAATATCTATAATGTGCTGGGCAATTTCAGTGAGAATTTAACTTTGAAATGAAACCAAATATAAAGTTTCAAGCATATATCATCATGTGTTATATAGTTAATTTCCTTCATATATTTGAAGTTATTCAATTATATTTTGAAGAGCATACAGGTGTGGTTACCAATGATAAACAGGAAACGCAAACACTTTTAATTTTGTCATTTTTTTTTTCCTCTATAAAATAAACTGGCTAAGAAAAAATGCATTATGTACAGCGTTTAACTATTCAAATAACATTCAAAGGCAACCATTATTTTATACTTATAGGCAATAGCTATCTTTAGAATGCATAACACTCAAAAGCTAACATTCAATATGTGGTAATTATCTTTAAACAGGATTGTACAATATAAGCCCATCTGAGAATCAAAATTACAGGCTTGATTTAACAGCCTGGTGTCAACATAAAAATTACCTCTATGAATTTATCCATAGTGGCATCTGTTGGACGATCCATTATCAAGAACCGCATGTTCTTATACTCAATTTCAGCAGGTTCTGGTCGTCGAGTCTTCATTATGTTTGTTGACATTTGAAGACTGTAATCCCGAAGAAGGAAATATAAATTTTACACCAAAGTTGGCCGTAAGTTCACGACTGCACAGGTCATGAAATATCACTGTAAATGTAATCTCATTCACTAGCACTTTCCTCCGGAATTTTTTTTCCAAAGTATTCAGATCTAATTTTGTTAACGTACTTACATATATATACACAGTTTTTAATTCTGTACAATTTTACGTCGACTAATAAAACTTTGGCGTAATATTACAGAGTGATATATACAACTGTCAATCTAAACAAGTATATTAAAATCTATCCCTTTTCCAACAAGTGAACAAATAAATAAATAGATAGAACTATGTGCACTAATTACCGATGTAATGAGAAACTAAAACTAGAACCAAAGTATATTTCTATCTAAATGACAGAGTACCGATGATGATGCGCACTTGATTTGCTTGCTAATCTCCAAACTTGATGTATGATTCCAGGTCGGAGAATATTTCTGGATCAAGAAGGGTCCACGAAGAGCAATGCTCTCGATAAATTTCTCTCCAAATCTGCGTACAGAAAACACTGCAGATACAAAGTTGGCTCTAATGTCCCGTACACAGCAGTTCGGTTCTGCTTCAAATTCTTGTACGGTTGTTAGAAAACCACTATCCGGAGATTTAACACTCCTTAAACACCTTGCCTCCGGCACTAAGTAATGTACGGTGAAAGACAATTGGGCCCCGAACTGCGGGTTCTTTCCAGTAGCTTCGCCCATCCAAACGCACCTTACCCCATCCAGAATGCCGGTTACAAGGTCAAGGGGGGTCAAGATCCAGGTTACGCATCCAAAAGGAATAATGTTTAGCACCTGAAGTAAAATAAAGTTTTTTTTAAACAGAAACAAATACAAGCAACTTGAGAATTGAACACTTCTTCCTGATCCAACATCAACACAGCTATGATTTAAATAAAATATGTAGATGTCTTATGAAGGAAGTTAGAAACTTTACCTTAACTGCATTTTTAAAGTTCATTGTCAGTTTAACTGTTTATATCATTATATTACAAACTAGAAATGTGTCATCATGCCACGGATGCCCCCACATGCAGCCAAAATTTCAGATGTTATAATATTTAGTTCCAAATTTGTTTGCACAAATTATTTTTTTTATTTTAAGGTCAAAGCCCTTAAAACTTTTCAATGTTAACACAAACCATTTTCATACAATGTTCAAGACACTGAAATTATTCAGTCTTAACCTTTTGAAAATAGCATATTGCATATTTGTAGCCAAAATAATGGCTACATACATTTCCACAAAAGTACGAGTGCTGAAACTGAAAGTTCAAAATTTTTCCAACATTCAGGAAAGATAAGTCTGTCCAAAATCACTGAACCACGACCAAATTCAAACTTAAACTGCTTATTCCTAAGATGTATCTATATTTTTTTCAAAGTGAAAGGGACATAACTCTGCCAAAAAATCATCAAACCATGACCAAATTCCAACTTGATCTGCCCATTCCTTTGACATATCCCTATGTCAAATTTGAGTTGTGTTGAGTAGATAATGAACAAAACTGTTAATTTCAAATTATTTTCAAAGTGAAAGGGGCATAACTCTGCCAAAAATCATTGAACCATGACCAAATTCGAACATGACCTGGGCATTCCAAAAACATATCCATATGTCAAATTTGAGTTGAATGTGTTGTACCGTTGGGGAGATAATAAACGGAAACCGAAAATTTCATATTATTTTCAAAGTAAAAGGGGCATTACTCTGCCAAAAATCATTGAACCATGACCAAATTTGAACTTGACCTGCACATTCCTTTGACGTATCCATATGTCAAGTTTGAGTTGAATGTGTTGTACCTTTGGGGAGATAATGAACGGAAACTGAAAATTTCATATTGTTTTCAAAGTAAAAGGGGCATAACTCTGCCAAAAATCATCGAACCATGACCAAATTCAAACTTGTCCTGTATTTTCTCATGACATATCCATATGTCAAGTTTGTGTTGAATGTGTTGTACCGTTGGGGAGATAATGAACGGAAACTGAAAATTTGATATTATTTTCAAAGGGGCATAACTCTGCCAAAAATCATTGAACCATGACCAAATTCAAACTTGACCGTTATTTTCTGATGACATATCCATATGTCAAGTTTGAGTTGAATGTGTTGTACCATTGGGGAGATAATGAACGGAAACTGAAAATTTCATATTATTTTCAATGTAAAAGGGGCATAACTCTGCCAAAAATCATCGAACCATGACCAAATTCGAACTTGATCTGTATTTTCTCATGACATATCCATATGTCAAATTTGAGTTGAATGTGTGCAACCGTTCTTAAGATAATGAACGGAAACTGATGATGACGGAATGACGGAATGACAGAATGACGGAAGGACGGAAGGACGGAAGGATGGAATGATGGAACAGGGTAACACTATATGCCCCGGCCATTACATGGTGGGGGCATAATAACACTATATGCCCCGGCCATTACATGGCAGGGGCATAATAAAGAAATATTTGTTGTTACAGGTCTATCCATAAACCTTTCAATCAGCTTTATTATTACTGGTATACAAAATGTAGCAGCTGCTTAGGACTGTAAAACTCTTGATCTGAATTTCTTAAATGGACTTGTCCAGCTTCCATTTTTTTAAACTGTCAATCATCAACTTCTGGAAAAACATATATCAAAATGACAATTTCAAGCAATCAGCCAACAGTATAGAGCCTGTTTAGACTGCACTGATATAAAGGCTGACCTGAATTGGTCTTGGCTGTAAAGCTTGAGGCTCATCACTTTCTGCCAGGTTGAGCAAGTAAAGGGATAAAAATAACACATCTTTATGTACAAATCAAATAAATAATATTTTGATAGAATTTATCTGATCTTAGCTAATGAATTTTCTTCTGTTCAAATGTATCTTTAAACAGAAATTCCTGATGAAATTTATTTACTGAATGCTGGGGTTTAAATTACCGTAGTCTGACTAGGAGGCATTAGAACTTTTTATTAGGTAGTAGGTGAAAATCTCAGGGGTCCCATCAACATTTCAGACGCAAATAGACCACCAACCTTCTTAAAGGTAGCTGAATAGCTTCCTCACATTTTTGTTTTGTTTTGTTGAGTGTTACAGTGCAACAACACTCTTAAAGGTGACTGGTCATATGGTGACTTTCCAGGGAAGACATCAGGTGCTCTGCTTTGTATTATTTCAAGCACGAACAACCATCTATGTTTCAGTAAGCTAGCCAGATAGGTTCCTCACATATGAAAGAAGTACCTGACGGGAATCAAATCAACTGCAGCAAGGGGCAACTAGTATTAAGTCAATCATCTTAACCACTTAGCCATAGACGCCCATCTTTCCTCTCATGAAAGAATCTTAAATCTCTATCTTGGTTTAAAACAACAGATGTTGAGGGGTAGGTGATTCAAACTTGGAATGTCGGCAACCAATACAAGCAGGCCCCTAGAAAAATGAATATACTTTACCTTTAAAAATGACAACTGATTGTATTAGCCAGGTTGCCTCACACGTGAACGTGTTGTGCCAAGCAGTATTCGCCACTGTTTGTCAGAAACTCCATAAAAGTATGGCCAAGTTCACCAAAGAACTGAAAAGACAAAAATGATTTCATATTTAATACATTAAGCGGACAGAACACACTATACATGCTACATTATGCCCTTTACCTTATAATCACAACCTGAAAATGAATTTGTTAGAATCACATATGAATACAGAGCACCAGGGACTGATTTAAAGCCCGATTCTCAATCCAAAATAATCCAAGTGCAAAAAAAATCAATTTAAACAGCCACCAAAAATTCAAACTGTTTCAACTTCTCAGAAAGAATTTTTGGAACATTTTTGACTTGTTTCTTAAAAGCAATAATAGATTATATAATCACACACATGAATACAAACTTGTATAAAAATAGGTTTGAAACTTTCTAAAAAAAAATTAAAAATTTATTGTTCCAAACTTATTTTGCCGTCTTGATTTCAATTTGTGTGGAGATAAAATGCCACCAGTAAAGAGACAGGCCATCTGAATCTGCATGTTAGTGCTGTCTGTTGACAAGAGGACAAGACTCTAATCTGTTGGTAGCTCAATTTTTGTATTTTGACACCCCTGAACTGTTCCAAATTAAAATCTGGGCAAATCTATTTTACAAAATTCACAGGTATAGGATTCAATGGCAAAATTCAAGTTCTCAACAGTTACAAGGTGATATTTTGATGACACCACTGTAGACCGAGTCTCACATGACAAGAAAGGTTAAAAGTTTACATATATACAATATCATATAGTCCACATCTGTAAATGTCATACACTGTGTAACATATATGACAGTTGACCTACTGAATTTATTGCCTGACACACAGATAAATTGTATATTCAATAACAAACTTTTAATGAATTCGTATCAGCCTTAGGACAGTCTCTTAAACGTAAATATACCAAGGGTAGGTGTTTTTATGTCTTTATTAAAATAACATTATTACATACACAATTTTCTTTATAAGGAGAAAAGCATACAAGGTTGTATATCAAATACTTAAAACTTTGGTCACCTTTCCATCTGAACAAAACTATTAAATTTTTTTTATAATTTTCAAGGAAACTTTCTTTCAAAATAAGTACCACCTGAATAGCAAACAGTGCAGACCATAATCAGACGGCATGGATCTTGGTCTGCACTGGTAGCAAGGATGTAATCAATTGCTTCCTCCTGGGTAAGGGTTCGTATAAATAATATAGTTTATAAATAGAAATATAGCATATCTTATCTTACTGCACGTTTGTAACGTTGTTTTTCATTGGATAATCATGACATTTATATAGTTTTATATACACAGCTGCTGTCAATTTACAAAGAAATCTCACTTTTCTTCTTAAACAAGAGCTGTCGGTAGGACAGCAACGCTCGACTATTCTTAGTGCTTGATAGTAAAAAAAAGGCCTGATACAGTTACCTCCTCCTGTTTACAGGTTGGGGTCATGATGGTGAACAAGTGTGCAAAGTTTCAAAGCCATATGTCAATGGACTTTGAAAATATTTGAACTATTACAAAAACTTTAACGTAAATTCTAAGTCGAAAAAGGGGCATAATTCTGTCAAAATGCTTGATACAGTTACCTCCTCCTGTCTACAGGTCGGGGTCATGATGGTGAACAAGTGTGCAAAGTTTCAAAGCCATATGTCAATGGACTTTGAAAATATTTGAACTATTACAAAAACTTTAACGTAAATTCTAAGTCGAAAAAGGGGCATAATTCTGTCAAAATGCTTGATACAGTTACCTCCTCCTGTCTACAGGTCGGGGTCATGATGGTGAACAAGTGTGCAAAGTTTCAAAGCCATATGTCAATGGACTTTGAAAATATTTGAACTATTACAAAAACTTTAACGTAAATTCTAAGTCGAAAAAGGGGCATAATTCTGTCAAAATGCTTGATACAGTTACCTCCTCCTGTCTACAGGTCGGGGTCATGATGGTGAACAAGTGTGCAAAGTTTCAAAGCCATATGTCAATGGACTTTGAAAAATATTTGAACTATTACAAAAACTTTAACGTAAATTCTAAGTCGAAAAAGGGGCATAATTCTGTCAAAATGCTTGATACAGTTACCTCCTCCTGTCTACAGGTTGGGGTCATGATGGTGAACAAGTGTGCAAAGTTTCAAAGCCATATGTCAATGGACTTTGAAAATATTTAAACTATTACAAAAACTTTAACATAAGTGGTTAAGCTGCCTGTCTTTTTTAAATTGTTATAAATATACCTGATATGTTATATGACCTTATAAAAATGGTTGTTTGCAATATAA